CGTGCGAAAAACCCAGCACCAGTAATTTTCATTGCTACCAACTATACTGTTTTCACTGGCAGTAACTAAATCCATTTTCGAACACATCCGATTTAGCGTCAAATATAGTCACGTGACAAATATAGTGACTAGGGCTGCGTTCAGAAACGTCACCCAAATGCACCGGTGTATCATTTTATCCTTGTTTAACATACGGTGAGCAACAAGGATAGAATAAAGCCCGCTGCAGACGATGCTATTTTTCCTGCTGGATTGCTTGCAATTTAGTAAATTACTAGGAATCCTGAATGCTGAGTGGTGCAATGATAGTAATTTACTAAATCGCAAGCAATCCAGCAGGAAAAATAGCATCGTCTGCAGCGGGCTTAATACGCTGGAGTACTCGGGTGGTGTTTCTGAACGCAGTCCTTGCGACACCCAGTCACACCACGGCACACTGAAAAGTTGAGACGGTCTCAACTTTTCCCCTCCTACGTCGAGAAGTCACGAAGTCACTAGAGAACTCATTTGCCGCTGGTTTCTAGCGTCAATGAAATTGCACCTTCTAAGATAAAACAACCGCCAACACCCATATCACGTTGAACCTACCAGTTCTCGTCTGATCACTGAAGTCAAGCAACGTTGAGCGCGGTTAGTACTTGGATGGGTGACCGCTTGGGAACACCGTGTGGCGTTGGCATAATTTTTTTTCTTGGCCACATCAAATTCGGAGTCAGGGGTTCAATTATAAATGTTTTCCTCTTGCGTCCATTCGTGAAAAGTGAAAAATTTCATTGAAAAACGTTGAATTCGCCAATGAAATTTTTCTAGGGTCGAGTTCCAATGGTTCTAACCTAACCTAACGCCAATTGACTGCCCTGGTGAGACCACGTGCTTCCGGCACAACTGAGTGCTCGTGGCGATACACACGTCGCAACTAGTGGCTACGTTTAATTGCAATTTATTTTTTGTGACTGTATTCGACACAAACTCTCAGCATTCAAACAAATACTCAGCGAGTACATTCGTTAAGGTTAATATTGCTTCACGTATTTTTTGTTCACGAAAACAGCCTTTATTTCCTCTCGTCATTCTTAACCTCCTTTCAAAGTTGTCATTGATCATAAAACGCAATATCTTGTAAACATTTGAGGATTGACTTTTCGGGAGAGGTAAATTCTCTAAGTACAGAGATTAATTCACTTATCCAATTGTATAAACTTCTTAAAACACGTGTGCTACAATTTTTATCCTGTAACTTAACTTGCTTTGTCGAACTTTTGCAATATTATGTATATTTTTATAACAGAATATATCGAGGAAGAATGCACAAGTGCAAGTATGAGTGAGTTAAGGACCTTTTGTTATCCAAGTCTACGTCTTGGCTATAAGCTGAAATTGATAAATTGGTTTATGTAATCAGAATATGTATATATATACTTTATAACAACTTGCGGTAATTACACAAACTTATACACTTGATAAAATCACTAAAATCAGCTATAAGGAATTGACATTACGGAATAGAAGAATTTGTTATGTAAATGAAATTGGATCTTTCAATTGTTTTCTCTGCAACATTAAGTACAGTAAAGATATGTGCATGCAGCTGTTATCACTGTAAAAAATTACACATTACAACAGCCATTTAAGATGTTATATAAGAAAAGAAATTGTACAAGTTTATAATAAATTAATATGAGTATATTAAATCATTCAACTTCTTTTTCAGGAAGAATTCTATGCTAGTGCAGAAACCTACGTAGGAAAATGCCGCAGAACGAATATATCGAGAGGCACCGTAAGCTCTACGGTCGCCGTCTCGATTATGAGGAGAGAAAGAGGAAGAGAGAGGCCCGTGCGCCTCACAAACGAGCGGAGCAAGCTCGTAGTTTGCGTGGCCTGAAGGCCAAGATGTTCAACAAGGAGCGACGCAATGAAAAGATCCAGATGAAGAAGAAGATTAAAGCCCACGAAGAGAAGAGAGTCAAGGAGAAGTCTGACAAGCTACCGGAAGGAGCGTTGCCCGTGTACCTTCTGGACCGTGACGTTACGAAGCGAGCGAAAGTGTTGTCGAACATGATAAAGCAGAAGCGCAAGGAGAAGGTCGGCAAGTGGGACGTTCCGATACCGAAGGTTCGCGCGCAGTCAGAGTCGGAGGTTTTCAAAGTGGTGAGAAGCGGCAAGACGAAGCGGAAATCGTGGAAGCGGATGGTGACCAAGGTGACCTTCGTCGGGGAGAACTTCACGAGGAAACCGCCCAAGTTCGAGAGATTCATCAGACCGATGGCATTGAGATTCAAAACCGCTCACGTCACTCATCCCGAGCTCAAGGCGACCTTCTCCCTGCCGATCATCGGCGTCAAGAAGAATCCGAGCTCCTCTATGTACACGGACCTGGGCGTTATCACTAAGGGAACTATTATCGAGGTGAACATCTCGGAATTGGGTCTTGTGACGCAATCGGGCAAAGTTGTGTGGGGCAAGTACGCTCAGGTCACGAATAATCCTGAGAATGACGGCTGCATCAATTCCGTTTTACTTGTATAAGCTTTTCAACGCTTGTATTGTAATCCCTAAGTTATGATGCTACTGATAATTTCTGAAATGATTCCTGAATGTTGTACATAAAACACGGTAACGTGCAGTAGTTTATATTTAAAAAAAATAAAGATAAGTTATCTTACATATGTACACGTGTACATTTTTTCGGACATATACGTCGGTAACAAGCGCGTGGTTTTTAATAGATTATTGTCATCTAATTTATTCATCTATCGCTCAAATGATTTGGTTTATTAATTCTGTGTTACTGTATCAATAATACAAATGTCTAAAAACATAATTGAGGTGCAGTTAGACGATATTTTTATTAATACTAGACAATGCTGCTGATTGAGTTAACCGTCGATTAAAGTTAAAGCGGGGAGCACACACTTTTGCATAAGTACATAAGCATATGCATAACGAATTTGATTGGTCCGTTTTCTTATGCATTTGCCTATGGACCAATCAATTTTTTTATGCATATGCTTATGCACTTATGCAAAAGTGTGTTCTCCCCGCTTTAAGCCTTGTGTCCACGATCGAAGAACTGTGTCCAAGTTCTAGTTCTAAAGCCTTGTGTCCACGATTCAAGAACTGTATCCAAGTTCTAGTTCCGAGAAATGCGTAGCCAATCACCTTGCGGCTTTTATGGAATAGCTGCAGGTTGATTGGCTATGCATTTCTTGAAACTAGAACTTGGACACAGTTTTTGGATCGTGGACACAAGGCTTTAGCCAACGGTACACGGTACTATTTTTTCCTACTGGATTCCTTAAGGCCTATGTCCACGATGCTAGAACTTGGATCAAGTTCTAG